TAATGAGCAATAATGAGTAATAATGAGCAATAATGAGTAATAATAAGCAATAATTAGTAATAATGAGCAATAATGAGTATTAATGAGCAATAATGAGTTATCATGAGCAATAATGAGTTATAATGAGTTATAATGAGCAATAATGAGTAATAATGAGCAATAATGAGTATTAATGAGTTATAATGAGCAATAATGAGTAATAATGAGTTATAATGAGCAATAATGAGTAATAATGAGTAATAATGAGTAATAATGAGCAATAATGAGTAATAATGAGTTATAATGAGCAATAATGAGTAATAATGAGTTATAATGAGCAATAATGAGTAATAATGAGTTATAATGAGTAATAATGAGTTATAATGAGTTATAATGAGCAATAATGAGTAATAATGAGTTATAATGAGTTATAATGAGCAATAATGAGTAATAATGAGCAATAATGAGTATTAATGAGTTATAATGAGAAATAATGAGTAATAATGAGCAATAATGAGTAATAATGAGTTATAATGAGTAATAATGAGTAATAATGAGTAATAATGAGTAATAATGAGCACTAATGAGTAATAATGAGTTATAATGAGCAATAATGAGTAATAATGAGTTATAATGAGCAATAATGAGTAATAATGAGTTATAATGAGTAATAATGAGTTATAATGAGTTATAATGAGTAATAATAAGTATCTGTATGTTTATTCCTGAAATGCAGTGGTTTGTCTGGACTCTTGCAGCTTCACTGTTTGTGAATGTTTCGGCTGTAAATCTGTTAGACGGCCTACAGACGTAAATATTGGAAACATTTGTTTCGTTTGAGATAATCTGTTATAAGATTCAAATAAGTTCTGGATGATCCTGTTAAAAGGATTATTCAGTCCAGCTGAATATGAATATTGTCATCATGTTGCACTGACTGTCCTTCTGTTAAACACAAGAGAGATAGTCTGAAGGATGTTGGGAATCAAACAGTTTTGAGGGACTTCCGTCATATTGTTTGATGAACAGTGGAAGACCATGTGACCCGAAACTCTTCTTTTTTTTTTACTTCATGGGAATGGTACGAAACTTGCTAAAGGTTTTGGCTCTTGCTGTGTGAACACACACATAAATCATGGGCATGATCTGAACAGGTTTAATGGTGCTGTGAACAATAGTCCCACTTGTGCTCCTCGCGGTCAGAAATGCCGCATTGGAAATGAATGGAGAGTTTCCTCTAGTGGAAGCGTTTGGAACTGCAGCCGAACACACTCTCCCTGAACGCTCCTTTACTGAGAGATCAGCTCACATGCGGAACACACACTTGCTTAGCTTTATGGCTTTGGTTGTCTTGCAGTTTTACAGTAAAACGTGATTTTGAAAATATATATTGCATATAAAAATTGAAAATAGTATTTGTGTGCATTTTTCATAACAATAAACGTAAAATTCTGTAACTTTTTTTAAGTTCACTTTTTAAAACTTTTTTCACTTCAGCAATAATCTGACGAGTGTCGTCTTTGAAAAGAGATCAAACTTCAGTCTGTCGCTCTAAAGCGTTAGAGATTCTCCACAGTTTAAGATGGACATTTCATTTTCAGGGCTACGCTCAAAAAGTGAATAAATGGATTATAAATACAGCGTAAATATAATTTAGTAGGCTACCATAAAATCCCCCCAAAAAATACAAAATATTTAAATAAAATAAAAAAGCAAAGTAAAATATAGTACATTCATTTCATTGACAAAAAAAAGAAAAAGTGTAATTTTTGAGCGCCACGCGAAGAGTTTGTGAATCGCTCATGCGAGTGCGACCGCATCCTCACTGTCCGAGTGTGTCCAAACACACAGATCCACCGCGAGACGAGTGTGTCCAAACACACAGATCCACCGCGAGACGAGTGTGTCCAAACACACAGATCCACCGCGAGACGAGTGTGTCCAAACACACACAGATCCGTCACGCTGCTTCTCTCTCGGTGTGATGGGGTGTAACAGACACAAAAACAGCACATTCACAGCGATGCTTCTGAGGGGAAGCTGAACATCAGACGCCTTGCTAATGCTAATGCTGGCAGCTGGTCTGAACGCACCACACACACACACACACTCAATAAAGCCCTGATCGGAAGCTCATTTCATATGCAGAGAGTGTGACATCATCACCCGCCTATTAAACACGGACAAAACCCAGTCGGTTTATTACAACGATTCAATGAATGATATACACCAGTCTAACGTTCTGGATTGATTTTTAATGTTTTTAAAGAAGTCTCCTGCTCACCGAAGCTGCATTTATATGATAAAAAAAAGTAATATTGTGTAATATTACTCCAGTGTAAATCAGCTGTTTTCTATGTGAATATACACTCACCTAAAGGATTATTAGGAACACCATACTAATACTGTGTTTGACCCCCTTTCGCCTTCAGAACTGCCTTAACTCTACGTGGCATTGATTCAAATGTTGGCCCATATTGATAGGATAGCATCTTGCAGTTGATGGAGATTTGTGGGATGCACATCCAGGGCACGAAGCTCCCGTTCCACCACATCCCAAAGATGCTCTATTGGGTTGAGATCTGGTGACTGTGGGGGCCATTTTAGTACAGTGAACTCATTGTCATGTTCAAGAAACCAATTTGAAATGATTGGAGCTTTGTGACATGGTGCATTATCCTGCTGGAAGTAGCCATCAGAGGATGGGTACATGGTGGCCATAAAGGGATGGACATGGTCAGAAGCAATGCTCAGGTAGGCCGTGGCATTTAAACGATGCCCAATTGGCACTAAGGGGCCTAAAGTGTGCCAAGAAAACATCCCCCACACCATTACACCACCACCACCAGCCTGCACAGTGGTAACAAGGCATGATGGTTCCATGTTCTCATTCTGTTTACGCCAAATTCTGACTCTACCATCTGAATGTCTCAACAGAAATCGAGACTCATCAGACCAGGCAACATTTTTCCAGTCTTCAACTGTCCAATTTTGGTGAGCTCTTGCAAATTGTAGCCTCTTTTTCCTATTTGTAGTGGAGATGAGTGGTACCCGGTGGAGTCTTCTGCTGTTGTAGCCCATCCGCCTCAAGGTTGTGCGTGTTGTGGCTTCACAAATGCTTTGCTGCATACCTCGGTTGTAACGAGTGGTTATTTCAGTCAAAGTTGCTCTTCTATCAGCTTGAATCAGTCGGCCCATTCTCCTCTGACCTCTAGCATCAACAAGGCATTTTCGCCCACAGGACTGCCGCATACTGGATGTTTTTCCCTTTTCACACCATTCTTAGTAAACCCTAGAAATGGTTGTGCGTGAAAATCCCAGTAACTGAGCAGATTGTGAAATACTCAGACCGGCCCGTCTGGCACCAACAACCATGCCACGCTCAAAATTGCTTAAATCACCTTTCTTTCCCATTCTGGCATTCAGTTTGGAGTTCAGGAGATTGTCTTGACCAGGACCACACCCCTAAATGCATTGAAGAAACTGCCATGTGATTGGGTGATTAGATAATTGCATTAATGAGAAATTGAACAGGTGTTCCTAATAATCCTTTTAGGTGAGTGTGTATAGTAATTCTCACAATTCTGACTTTATATATCGCAATTCTGACTTTATATTTCGCAATTCTGACTTTATATATCGCAATTCTGACTTTATATTTCGCAATTCTGACTTTATATCACACAATTCTGCTAAATAAACTCAGAATTATCTTTTAAAATGTTTTATTCTGTGGTGGAAACAAGTTTCCATACTTAACGTTCACATAACCACGCAAAAAAAAAAAACGTTTTCAAAACATTAAAAAATCTGGATGTTTTGAACGTTCAAATAGCATTGAGAAATAATTAATGGGAAGGTTTAGAACACGTTTTTGTCATCCGAGACCGTACAATACAATTCCACACATGATTAAACACTCCCCAATTAAACATTCATAATCTTAGCAAAGAACCATCCTAATCAAAACCGAAATGTTAAATCTTGTCAAGGACTTTAGAGTCATCCAGAGAATACGCTTCTCCTCCAGTGCAAGTTAATGAGGAACATGAGGAACTATGAAGAGCCGAGCGAAATCACTGACGTGTCTCTCCATCTGTGTTCATGCTTTCTGTTTCAGACATCAGAATAATTCTGTCTTTCATCTCACCAAACACACAGATGAAAGCATCAACATGATCATAACAGAGACAGAGCATGAGCTTTAGTGTAAATGTGGCCCAAAGCTCCAGACATGCTGTTCTGTGAGAAACTGTCGTTTGCACATGATTATTAAAGATAGCAGAAAAACAATCCTGGAGTCTGTAGCTCGTGTGTTACGCTCCTGAAAACACATCTGTCTTCCTGTAAAATAGACTTATTAATGAATAGAAATTTAAATACATATCGACGACTCGTGGGGTCACATCCACATTTTTTTTTACACTAAAATAACTATTAAAAAAGCTAAATAAAGGAAAAATAAAGGAAATACTTCAATGCAAGACTGACAAATAAACAATATTCACTCTGAAACTGCTAGTAAATTTCACAAATAATTACTTAGAACACTTTTTTTAACACAACATACTCTAAGTCATTGCGTATAGTGTACACTACCATTCAAAAGTTTGAAGAAGTTTTTAAAGAAGTCTGCATTTATATGATCAAAAATACAGTGTAATATTACTCCAGTGTAAATCAGCTGTTTTCTATGTGAATATACAGTAAAGTGTAATTTATTCCTGAATTTTCAGCATCATTACTCCAGTCTTCAGTGTCACATGATCCTTCAGAAATCACTCTAATATAAGGATCTGATGCTCAAGATACATTTATGATTATTATCAGTGTTGAACACAGTCATTTTTGTCAATGCATTTTATTTTTCAGGATTGTTTAGTGAATAGAAAGTTATCTTTTTGAAATAGAATCTTTTGCAACATTATAAATGTCTTTACTTTCACAATTTAACGCGTCCTTGCTGAATTAAAGTATTAATCTCTCCACACTCACGTTTTCTCACGTCTGCTTTCCCACAGGTCGTTTAACCGACACCAGCAACCCAGATGGAGATGCTACTCGTTTATCTGATGGTTGCTGTAATGGCGCTGAAAGCCCAGAAGATCCAGGTTTGCCCGAAGCGCTGCATCTGCCAGGTTCTGTCCCCCAATCTGGCAACCCTGTGTGATAAAAAGGGTCTGTTGTTCGTCCCTCCGAACATCGACCGGCGCACCGTCGAACTCAGACTGGGGGACAACTTCATCACGGGAATCAAGCGCAAGGACTTTGCCAACATGACCAAACTGGTGGACCTGACTCTCTCGAGGAACACCATCGGCTCCGTCACGCCTCACGCCTTCAACGACCTTGAGAACCTGCGCGCGCTTCACCTGGACAGCAACCGCTTGACACATATAACCAACGACACGTTTAGCGGCATGTCAAAGCTGCACCATCTAATCCTCAATAATAACCAGCTCACACACATCCACATCGGAGCGTTTAACGACCTCCTGGCTCTCGAAGAGCTCGATTTGTCCTACAACAACTTGGAAAGCGCGCCTTGGATCGCGATCCAGCTCATGATTAGCTTGCACACTTTAAACATGGATCACAACATGATCAACTACATCCCTGAAGGAACGTTCTCCGGGCTTCAGAAGCTCAAGCGACTGGACGTCACGTCCAACAAGCTGCATAAGCTTCCGCCCGATCCGGTTTTCCAGCGCGCAGGAGTTCTGGCGACATCAGGCGTCTTGGGTCCGTCGTCGTTCGCGTTGAGCTTCGGGGGAAACCCGCTGCATTGTAACTGCGAGTTGCTGTGGCTTCGACGGCTACGGCGCGAGGACGATCTGGAGACATGCGCGGCGCCACAACATCTCGCCGGACGCTACTTCTGGACCGTTTCCGAGGAGGAGTTCTTGTGCGAGCCGCCGCTAATCACTCGACACTCGCAGGAAACCCGTGCGCTTGAAGGCCAGCAGGTTTCTTTACGATGCAAAGCCCGCGGGGACCCGGATCCCGTCATACACTGGATCGCTCCCGACGGCAGGCTAGTGTTCAACTCCAGTCGGACCGTCGTCCACGCCGACGGAACGCTGGATATCCTGATCAGCACGGTGAAGGACTCGGGGTCGTTTACTTGTGTTGCATCAAACCCGTCTGGGGAGGCTCAGCAAACGGTGGAACTGACCATCACGAAACTCCCGCACTTCACCAACGACACCAGTTTGGTCCAGGAGCCGGACCCGGGATCCTCCGACATCGCCACTTCTGCCAAGACCGAAGCCGGCTCTGCCATAGGCAACACTAAGGGAGGGCAGGAGAAGAGAGTCCTGATCTCTGACATCACCGCTTCCTCGGCGCTGGTGAAGTTCAACTTCCAGAGGAATATTCCCGGGATCCGGATGTTCCAGGTCCAATACAACGGCACTTACGACGACTCGTTAGTGTACAGGTAAGGCTGTTGGTTAAGAAGATACACCCTTTAGGCAAGACACTGCATGCGGAACTAGCTTTTTCATCCACTGGGCAATTTTGAGTTTTGCTTTTATAAAATACACTTTTATCACTCTTTATCTTTATTTGCATCTGTAGATTTAAATTTCAGATTTCAAAATCTTTAGCCAAAGCCACTTACAAATGAGGAGAGCAATAGAGGCAGTGAAACTAACAATAGGACAAGTGCTGTGACCCTTCCCAGTTCAGCCTAACACAGAATAGTTTATTTTATTTTATATATATAGATATAGAGTAGAAGAGAAAAGAAAAGAAAGTGTTAGTATTAATGGATCAAGTGTTGCAGTCAACATTTACTCACACACACCAACATTTACTCACACACACCAACATTTACTCACACACACCAACATTTACTCACACACACCAACATTTACACACACACACCAACATTTACTCACACACACCAACATTTACTCACACACACAAACATTTACTCACACACACCAACATTTACTCACACACCAACATTTACTGACACACACCAACATTTACTCACACACCAACATTTACTCACACACACACCAACATTTACTGACACACACCAACATTTACTCACACACACCAACATTTACTCACAAACACACACCAACATTTACTGACACACACCAACATTTACACACACACACCAACATTTACTCACACACACCAACATTTACTCACACACACACCAACATTTACACACACACACCAACATTTACTGACACACACCAACATTTACACACACACACCAACATTTACTGACACACACCAACATTTACACACACCAACATTTACTCACACACACCAACATTTGCTCACACACACCAACATTTACTCACACACACACCAACATTTACTCCCACACCAACATTTACTCACACACACACCAACATATACTCACACACACCAACATTTACTCACACACACCAACATTTACTCACATACACCAACATATACTCACACACACACCAACATTTACTCACACACACCAACATATACTCACACACACCAACATTTACTCACACACACCAACATTTACTCACACACACCAACATATACTCACACACACCAACATTTACTCACACACACCAACATTTACTCACACACACACCAACATTTACTCACACACACCAACATATACTCACACACACACCAACATTTACTCACACACACCAACATATACTCACACACACACCAACATTTACTCACACACACCAACATATACTCACACACACACCAACATTTACTCACACACACCAACATTTACTCACACACCAAAATTTACTCACACACACACCAACATTTACTCACACACACACCAACATTTACTCACACACACACCAACATTTACTGACACACACCAACATTTACTCACACACACCAACATTTACTCACACACACACACATTTACTCACACACACACCAACATTTACTCACACACACACCAACATTTACTGACACACACCAACATTTACTCACACACACCAATATTTACTCACACACCAACATTTACTCACACACACCAACATTTACTCACACACACACACCAACATTTACTCACACACACACCAACATTTACTGACACACACCAACATATACTCACACACACCAACATTTACTCACACACACACCAACATTTACTCACACACACCAACATTTACTCACACACACCACCATTTACTCACTCACACCAACATTTACTCACACACACCAACATTTACTGACACACACCAACATTTACTCACACACCAACATTTACTCACACACACACCAACATATACTCACACACACACCAACATTTACTCACACACACCAACATATACTCACACACACCAACATTTACTCACACACACCAACATTTACTCACACACACACCAACATTTACTCACACACACCAACATATACTCACACACACACCAACATTTACTCACACACACCAACATATACTCACACACACACCAACATTTACTCACACACACCAACATTTACTCACACACACCAACATTTACTCACACACACCAACATTTACTCACACACACAAACATTTACTCACACACACCAACATTTACTGACACACACCAACATTTACTCACACACCAACATATACTTACACACACCAACATTTACTCACACACACCAACATTTACTCACACACACACCAACATTTACTCACACACACACCAACATTTACTTACACACACCAACATATACTCACACACACACCAACATTTACTCACACACACCAACATTTACTCACACACACCAACATTTACTCACACACACCAACATTTACTCACACACACAAACATTTACTCACACACACCAACATTTACTGACACACACCAACATTTACTGACACACACCAACATATACTCACACACACCAACATTTACTCACACACACCAACATTTACTCACACACACCAAGGACACCAACATTTACTCACACACACACCAACATTTACTGACACACACCAACATTTACTCACACACCAACATATACTTACACACACCAACATTTACTCACACACACCAACATTTACTCACACACACCAACAATTACACACACACACCAACATTTACACACACACACCAACATTTACTCACACACACCAACATTTACACACACACACCAACATTTACTCACACACACCAACATTTACACACACACCAACATTTACTCACACACACCAACATTTACACACACACACCAACATTTACACACACACACCAACATTTACTCACACACACCAACATTTACACACACACACCAACATTTACTCACACACACCAACATTTACACACACACCAACATTTACTCACACACACCAACATTTACACACACACACCAACATTTACACACACACACCAACATTTACTCACACACACCAACATTTACACACACACACCAACATTTACTCACACACACCAACATTTACACACACACCAACATTTACTCACACACACCAACATTTACTCACACACACCAACATTTACTCACACACACCAACATTTACTGACACACACCAACATTTACTCACACACACCAACATTTACTGACACACACCAACATTTACTCACACACCAACATTTACTGACACACACCAACATTTACACACACACCAACATTTACTCACACACACCAACATTTACACACACACACCAACATTTACACACACACACCAACATTTACTGACACACACCAACATTTACTCACACACACCAACATTTACACACACACACCAACATTTACTGACACACACCAACATTTACACACACACACCAACATTTACTGACACACACCAACATTTACACACACACCAACATTTACTCACACACACCAACATTTACTCACACACACCAACATTTACACACACACACCAACATTTACTGACACACACCAACATTTACTCACACACACCAACATTTACTCACACACACCAACATTTACTGACACACACCAACATTTACTCACACACCAACATTTACTGACACACACCAACATTTACTCACACACACCAACATTTACTCACACACACCAACATTTACTCACACACACCAACATTTACTCACACACACCAACATTTACTGACACACACCAACATTTACTCACACACCAACATTTACTGACACACACCAACATTTACTCACACACACCAACATTTACTCACACACACCAACATTTACTGACACACACCAACATTTACTCACACACCAACATTTACTCACACACACCAACATTTACTCACACACACCAACATTTACTCACACACACCAACATTTACTCACACACACCAACATTTACTCACACACACCAACATTTACTCACACACACCAACATTTACTCACACACACCAACATTTACTCACACACACCAACATTTACTCACACACACCAACATTTACTCACACACACCAACATTTACTGACACACACCAACATTTACTCACACACACCAACATTTACTCAGACACACCAACATTTACTCACACACACCAACATTTACTCACACACACCAACATTTACTCACACACACCAACATTTACTCACACACACCAACATTTACAGGTTTATTCCGATCGATATTCTGAAGGTTTTTACTGAGGGGTTTGTTTATATATAATTCTCCTCATATTTATTTAACATTTTATTCCTAAAAACATGGCGAATATGTATTTTTACAGTCAGTTGACAGTATTTTCTGATTTATGGAGTGATAAAAAGAGAAATCCAAAATCCGCTCAATAAACTCGAATATGTCAATAAAATCAGACAAGAATTTTGAACCTGGCTTTATCCACTGTTCAGATTTATGTTCTGGAACTTTGAGTATTTAATTAGAAAATGCCTCATTTGCATATTTAAACAACATTTCAGAAAACTTGTAATACAAAATATTTAGCGATTCTAAATGCATTGAATCAACTGAGAGAGTAGAGAGATATCTATCAGTTACACGTAATCATTACTTCAATGTTCATTGTTTGTGTTCACAGCGGGACGAGTGTAGTCTCACCAATCCCTGAACAAATCACTCTTAGAGATGGTAATTAAAGCTCTCTACTGGTTTGTTCATGACAGCATGTAAAGATACACATTATTAGTTTAATCTGTCGTACTTTTCTATTATTATTTAATTCATAGTTAAAGCCTATCATTGGGTGAGTTGACATACGTTTTATGGAAGTTATCCAACTAAAATTAAAAATGAAATGTTCAAATGCTAAAATAATCTAATTCTCAGACAGTTGCTCAGATGATGATCTTTTGTAATACTTGTTTAAAAGTGATTTGCCATCAAATCATCATTTACAATTGGACTTTAATTTCTGTCTCTTTTTTCTTCCTCAAAAGGTTTTTTATTAAATTCTGGACTATTACAAATATAATATACTAATAATAATAATTAGTTTTGTCGTTTTCATTTGATTTGTAGCTGATTATTATTTAATTTATAGCTAAAAAGAAAAGGTACAAGTCCTTAAAACATTATTTAAACACCTTTTTATGGAAGTTTCTCCTAATAAAAAAATAAAAATAAATCAAATATCCAGATCCTCAAATAATCAATTTCTCAAAAACAGATGCACGAATAATAATTCAAATGGTTTTGTTGGACTTTGAAAGCGTCTAGTGGCGTCATTTTATACGGTTATTTTGTCACTCAATGGCGTTTTTCGGTTAATTAAGTGCGTCATCTGAGTATTTAAAGTGCACTTTTTCTTCTAATTTTCCCCACTCACACGGCTTACACTACGAATCGCGACGCACCGTCAGTGCTACACTAGCTTTGCTCATCGCTAGTGCTAGCCGATGTTTGCTGATCGCTGTTCCTCTGTTCGCAGGATGATTCCTCCGACCAGTAAAAGCATCACGGTCAACAACCTGGCGGCCGGCACGATGTACGACCTCTGCGTGCTGGCGATCTACGACGACGCCATGACCACGCTAACGGCCACGCGCGTGGTGGGCTGCGTGCACTTCTCCACGGAGCCGCAGTACATGCGCTGTCACTTCATGCAGTCGCAGTTCCTCGGCGGCACCATCGTGGTGATCATCGGCGGCGTCATCGTAGCGTCCGTCCTGGCGTTCATCATCTTCCTCATCGCGCGCTACCGCGTGTGCCAGCCCGACGGCGCGGACAAAGCCGTGGAGCTCGGCGACATGCGCTCGCAGTCTCAGGTTTGCGGCGTCATCAAGTCCATGTCCAAGCAGATTCTGGGTCCGGATGCGTGTCGGAAAGTGTCGCCGGAGTCGGAAACCGTCCCGGCTAAACCGTCGAATTGCACCGTTAGCACATCCGCGGCTAGCCATAGCTGGCATCCGGCGTCCCCGAGTCCATTGCGTTCGGTGCGCGACACGCAAATCAACATAGAGCCGCCGGACAACTCCAACAAGAACAACTCGGCTAAGGTCCGCCACCCCACCGTACGCGCGTACTCCACCATGGTGACGCCGGCGTCCCGGAGAGCACAGCTCCAGAACCTCCACCAGTACAAGACGGTGCCGGTGGGATGTGTCCGGGTTAGCCGGCGTCACTCCCTCAACGTAGAGACATATAAACACCCGTATACGGGTCTGAAGCATCCGTCCGCGAGCCTGAGTCGCTCCCAGCGCAGTCTATCCGTGAGCGGGGGGGATATCCCCAAGATGGCCGCCGGAGAGAGACCGAGGTCGGCTCTGACCCAGTCGGAGTGGGTTCTGGAAAGCACATTATAATGGAGGATTGTGCACTTCACTTGTGTGGGACACCTGATGTGTGTGTGTGTTACTGCAAATGATCCGTCTTGTTTTTTACAGCACAAATATCTAAACATTCTTAAATCAAGATATTTAGTGGAGAAGAAGCGAAACGGCTGAAAAACCCATCGAAATTGAGTGAGTTTGAGCTTAAAAGAAGAACAAAAATCTGCCATGGGGTCAGAAAAATTATTTTAATTCAAAGAGAAAATTATATTTGTTCTTCTTTTAAGCAGATTTTCATACATTTATAAAGAGGGGGTTGATTATGATGTCACTTGTCTCGCTGTAGTGAGTGTGTGATGTTGCTGTTTGAGCGTAAACAACGTCTGCACAGTTACGACTCAAAGCTCAGAGCAAAGGGAGAGATTCGCTCGTACAGAAATCACTTTTTAAGGACTACAACAACCGGCTGGAAGAACTACACGAGCTTCCTCCCGGGTTAGTGACATCACCAACCCTAACATTTACATATCAAGACAGAATATGCTAATCAATGACTAGAAGATAACTACTCATCAGATACATAAACTCATCAACTAACCATTCAGAAATGTTGCTTCTACATGTCGTCACTTCTTCTTCTAGAGTCTCTCCATCTTTCTGACTCCGGTTTGAACATAAAAGGCTAAACGTTTTTGAAATGTTCAGTGTGTGTATGTGTGTGAGGTAATCTGAGCTGCTAACACACACACACACACACACACACACACACACACACAAGCTCTTGTAGCTCCGCCCCCTTCGCCAGGAGCAGCAGCTCATTTGCATTTAAAGGGACACACACGCACAAGCTCTTGAAGCTCCGCCCCCTGTGCCAGGAGCAGCAGCTCATTTGCATTTAAAGGGACAGACTCAAAAACGGTGTGTTTTTGCGCACCCTCAAAAAGTGACAACTTTAACATGCTATATAAAAATATCTGTGGTGTTTTTGAGCTAAAACGTCACATACACACTCTGGGGACATCAGAGACTTATTTAACATCTTGGGAAAGTGCATTATACCCCTTTAAGATTCAATATCTTCAGTCATGCTTCTCCTCCAGTGTATCCTGATGTAAGAGTGTTTAGATGTCAGTGCTGGAGAGCGAGACAGAAACTGAGGAGGAACGGTGTGTGTGCGGTGTCGTCTCACACACTCGAGGATCAGAAACTGAGGAGGAACGGTGTGTGTGCGGTGTCGTCTCACACACTCGAGGATCAGAAACTGAGGAGGAACGGTGTGTGTGCGGTGTCGTCTCACACACTCGAGGATCAGAAACTGAGGAGGAACGGTGTGTGTGCGGTGTCGTCTCACACACTCGAGGATCAGACTTCGAGATCGGACAGATCAGAAGGACAATGGACAAGCCCATGTTTTTTAAAGCACAAATTAAATACTGTTTCCTGCATATAGTAAAATAATACTATGACTTGTATATTTCTTTGTTTTATGGAATAATACAGACACTGCATACAAACATGTTACGTTGTGTAAAATAAAATGTGAAAATGATTCATGTGTTCATATTGATTTATATGTTAATTGTGGCTTGCAATGCGTCATGCTTCCGATATAAATTAGTTTTCTAATGAGAGTTAAACTTTCTGCTGAAATGTTTTAATACGTAAATCAACGGATTCGTGATTTTGAAGAATCTGAGATGTTTTGCTTACGTCTCCATTAAGTTATGAAAACGTTATTTCTGAATGTTTAAAATATTTTTTTCTTGATTATTGTTACATTTTGCGAACATTAAACAGCATTTAACACCAAGTACAAGAACTATAACTATATTAGCGCCAATACATGATATTTCTCTGTTTATTATAAGCGCTGCCTCTTTAAGTCTCTGTCTCTTTAAAGCAGGATGGATTCTGATTGGCTGTCAGTGTTTGTATCGTTCATCAACGGGCCTTTTATTGAACATTGCATTTTTATATTTAAAAACGCTAGCGTTCTGAGAACATTATTAAAACACCAAAAGAACGAGTTCATAACTTTTGAGAGAATGTTCAGTGTTAGCTAGAAATGGCTTTTGCGATCCGCTGCAGTTTTACATTTGATATTTAAAAGTAAATGGCAATAAATCTCACTGTAAAAGGCACTCGTGATCAAACGCACTGTTTCAGGGCGAAGACCGGCGTGATGAAGCAGCACATCTCGCGGTGAAGCCGGCAGCACTGCATGCTGGGTAATTATTTTTAGAAGTGTTATCCTTGCGTTCCTCAGGAGACTGAGAGGCGAGATCCTGTAATTGTTCAAAGAGACGTTGAGAATGCACAGCAGTTTCAGTCATGAGACTCGACACTGAGGGTTAAAGACGAGTCCGTGTGTGTGTGTGTGTGTGTGTGTGTGTGTGTGACGTGGGATGAGCATCAGGATCATGAGCTTGTTCAAACGAGCCTGCGATGTCGATTAATGACTCATTAATTCGTGCCCATCAGGTGTTCTCCATCATCATTATCGATACTAAAATGCGATTGAGTCCTGCAGGTTCACATCAGTAAAGATGATCTGCACAAGCGAGATTAACATCAACAGAGGAGCTTCCATTTAACATATTGTTTTTAAAAGAAAATATGGAATTGCCTTATGCACTTTACCATGTAGGACGAAATTCAACATTTTTATGACTTATATGTGAGATTAATTGATTTGCATAAGCTCCCGCTTCAGGTAATGCATTAGTTTACGTGAACATTGTTTGGATATTTTGGAAAATTATTGGATGGTTTTACAAGAAAATACCATTTCAGTCTTAGGCTACTACTGCAAAATTTCATGTTTATTTAATGTTCCTTGCCTTTAATTTTTAATTGCTTGTGAATTTTACAAGCAACTTCTGAGTGAAAATAGTTATTCTTTCGGTGTATGAACAGTATATTTAGTACAGCATTTATTAAAATCCCCTGTAGTCAATCATTGCATCTCTTAAAAATCATATTTAATCACCAAAATTACATATTTAAATGTTTTTTCTTCATGCCTTAAAATATCTTGAATGTAACTCGACACCCTTGCCTCATTTAGTATGCGCGGTTCTATGAATATGCAGATGAGCCCCGCCTCCACTCACTCACTCAGCTCAGAGATCCACTGGTTGACGATCACACGTTGATCTGATTGGTTACAAGGTCGTTTGTGACGTCAGAAACACCAGCGATTTCAAACCGTGTTTTTGAGACTGTCTTTGGTTCACTGCAGTTTTAAGGAGGAAATACTCAGCAATGCTGTCGACTTATGAACTTACACATGGTGTGTCTTAAAGCGTATTAAAAACACCACATAGACACATAAACAACATTAAAAGCTGGATTCTCACCACAGGGGGACTTTAAAATATGTTCATGTTTGTCAAAAAAAAAAGGTTATTGCATGTTCATATTAATTCACAGAGCATTAACTAATGATGTATTGAAACTAACATTAAGATTAACGGTAACACTTTACGATAATGTTCATTAGTTACAGGAACTAAGAATGATCAACACTTCTACAGCATTTAATCTGAGTTAATATTAATTTCAACATTTATTAATACTTTATTAAAATCTTGTTAACATTAGTTAATGCACTGTGAATAAGATAAACAAAGATTAATAAACACTGTAACAGATGTTTTGCTCATGTTAGTTAATACATTAATGTTGACTAATGAACCTTTACTGTAAAGTGTATTATTTCTTCAGCTATATTATGTGATGTCATACATTAAAAGACATATTTTCATTGTTAAAAGCACAAAAATCACAAAAGATAAATCATACAAACTATAATAAATCATTACATGTGTGAACTGATCAGAATCAGAAGTCCTGCCGATCCTGGAGTCACGGGCATTTACAGAAATTAATTTCGATTTCCTGAGCAGTTTATCTGATTCCTAATAAAGTGCGAGTGAAGCAGTCGTTCATGTTTACTCTCGGCTTCATCATCAGACTCTGCATTATTAACGAGGAATAAGCGGCTGATTCTAGACCACATCTCCAGATCTGCATACCTGTGCACAGATATCATAAACAAAGAATTATAATATGCGCAGGAGCCATTCCAAGCGTGTGCATTATTAATGGAGGCAAATGTGGTTTGAACGAACATCCTCGTTAATATTGAATGCGATTAGTGGCGGTGAATACAGAGAGACACACACACACACAGAGAGAGAGAGAGAGAGAGAGAGAGAGAGAGAGATATGCATGAGACCGATCAAGTCATTGCGATCCTGACCACTAGAGGTCAACACACACACACACACACACACTCACAGACACACACACACACACACACACACACACTCACATCTTTGTGGGGACTCTCCATAGACGTAATGGTTTTTATCCTGTACAAACTGTATATTCTGTCCCCTTACACTAACCGACCCCTAAACCTGCCCATGCAGTTTTACTTTTCTTTTTTTTTTTTTTTAATCCTTCTGTATGATTTATAAGCGTGTTTACCCACGAGGACCTTAATTTAGGCCCACAGTGACACGAGTCCCCATGAGACTGTGTGCATTCAGATTTAAGTCCCCACCGGGATAGAAAAACATGTACACACACACACACTCTCACTCGAAGTCACTCACTCACACACACACACACACACAAACATAACGTGTGTGTGTGTGTGTGGTATTTCAGCATCTGGATCACTGATTGGTTGCTTGATATGCAGCTGCAGTCGAGTGTGTGTGTGTGTGTGTTCAGTCATGTGTTCACTCTCTCTCTTCTGCAGGAATATTTACCCTGATTCTTCTCATGTTGCGTTCAGAAGCGTTTCTGTCTCCGCTGCATTTTGATGTGATTTTACATGCAGAAATATGTTGCCACGGTAACAGAGACATGCAGAACAGCACACACACACACACACAGAGGCGGCAGAAGCTAAAATAACCTGCAGTGTTCGACACACACACAATCAATCAATCGTGTGTGTCTGTGTGAGAGAGAGTGTGTGTGTGTGTGTGTGTGTGAGAGAGAGTGTGTGTGTCTGTGTGAGTGTGTGTGTGCAGAGTTTGGTCTTCAGGAACTCAAACTATTAATCTTGTGTAATGAAAGGCTGCCGCTTCAGACGAGCACTAGAGCATCAGAACACTGGCGTTACAGAGCAGAAGAGCTGATGGAGACAGGAGACCACTAGAGGTCAACACACACACACTCACTCACACACACACACACTCACTTCAGTTCCTCTT